AACCCGCAAGCAGTGCTTTCAAAGCTTGACGTAAGGTTACGGACTCCAACTCCCCCTCGGACGTGTAGTGCCAACTCCCTCCCCTGGGTGTGCAAAGGTTTTTGATTAAGTGAATATGGTAGCTTTGGAAGTCACGGGGAGTGCTTGGACCACCCCTGTTGTATGTAGACTGGAGAGCTTTGCGAACAATCTATTCATCAACCCCCTCCCTACCTTGACATATTGTTCGCCATCTACACTCGTACGATCGACGCCGTCGTCGTACTAAACCCTCGCTCCCGAATTCAACGCACCAAAACAAACACCAAATCATACGACTGACGCTGTCACCGTATTCACTATGCCTCAATTCACGGTTGAAGAGCTTCGAGCTGCAATCGGCGACCCCAACAAACCTGAAGACGTGAAGAGACTCGGCGAGTTTATCACCTCCCACGATGATACATTCGCACACGGTTTAGCCTTTTTACTTAATAGCCTTGACGAAGCTACACTTCAACAGAAGCTTTCTCTTAAGCGCGAAAAGCTAGCTCAAGTCACGGCCATAACCGATCAAGAGGAGAGCGACAAAATCATCAAGGAACTACAAGACAAACTCACCGAAGCTACAAGCCAACTCAATACAACTCCTCCTGCCCCTGCTCAAACTGTCCGATCCCCCCAGCTCCCAGACCCCCTTCGTTTCGGCACCACCCGCAAGTCACCTGAAGACCTCCGCAACTACCTATTTGACATCAATGTCAAGCTTCGAAGAAACGCAGACTGGTACCCCACTGAATACGATAAGATGGCTTACGTTGTTTCTACCCTAGAAGGCGAAGCACGTAATCACATCAACCCCTATTTGGACAATAACGGTAGCTTTACCACCTTGACTTCAGTTAGCGACATCACACGAATTCTCGAAGACACATACAGCAACAAGTTTAGCCAAGAGGAAGCGTATGCGAAGATTATATCAGACAAGCAGGGCCAACGACCAACAGCGGAATTCCTCTCTAACCATCTAGNACACATACAGCAACAAGTTTAGCCAAGAGGAAGCGTATGCGAAGATTATATCAGACAAGCAGGGCCAACGACCAACAGCGGAATTCCTCTCTAACCATCTAGCTTTGGCTAAGGCCTCTGGATCAACTGGATTCGATTGTACTCAGCGACTTATTCTCTTTGCTCATTCCGCTATTCGCGATAGAGTTTTAACTAACCCAGCCTATAACCGTCACGTCTCCGTCGAAACCCTAGCTACGCTTATACGTGACGCCGACCGTATTAACAAGTCTGTCTCTGGCGATGACTATACTCGTACACTTCCAAAGCTACCATATTCACTTAATCAAAAACCTTTGCATCCTACCGCCCTCTGTCTATCGCTTGTATTAGTCTTTAATACTAGTGATATTTCTAATACGCACTGACCCGGCCGAATTTAGACTTCCTATTGGTCAATCGCACCGGGCGAGCCTTTTTCCGGTCATGTGACTTAGTTCCATGGAATTCCAGTTGCCGATCGTTGTGTTTAGTTGTGCTTTTTTTGGATATTGTGTTTTGGAGGTTAGAAGGTTGTTTGGGGTTGTTGGATGGTATTATAGGTAGTGGCTTGGATATGAGTCAGAGTAATAGTTGTTACCATAGCTTTGAGAAGGATGGCAATGTTGGGGATTTTGGGGTTGTTGTTGTTGTTGTGGTTGTGGGTATATATGATGATGACATTCGTAATGGGAGGGGGCGTTCTTGAGGTAGGAGGAATGATCGAGACAGGAGATTAATTCTGTAAGATTAGTGAGTTTGGATTGTTTTAGTGGATTGGTTTGGTATCTACGGTGCTTTCTTTTTGAGACTTTGGGGGTCGGTGTGAAGTGTGAGGATGGACGTTAGTCTATTTGTTAATTGATCTAGATATGTATACTATGTATACTATATGTACTATACATAGTAATTGTCCATCTTAGATAAGCTTACATCCTTTCCTCTATATCAAAGGTTCTACCGCCTTTTATAGTATCTATCTTATCATAACTCATTAACACAACATTACCACAAACCCCCAAAACCCCAACCCCACAGAAAGGGACAAGCTACCCCTCAAAATCATAGAGCCACTAACACTCGTCGATTTCGCAACCGGTCTCCCCGTCACTTGTCTCTTTTCAGAAGTCACGTCTGTAGTTGGCTCTGCAGCCAAGATATGACCTTGAACTGAAGATTTCGATGGAGAGTCCAATGAAAGACTACCTTTTGCTACACCACTAGTCGAACACCTATCATCTCCCGCATTTGCAAGTTTCGTGGAGCTAGGGGAGTTTGTTTCTAGCCCTGACACGGGAATCGTCGAGGCGATACCACTTGGATACTGGATCACAACACCATGCGAGCCATACGTTACAACAGCGCTTAAAGCCGAGAGTGTGTGTACAGCACCGGACTTGGTGAGTGTTTGACCCTTGTACACAACTGTATCTGCCCCTTCAAGAGGCGTGACTAGCGAGTCGTCTTTCACTCCGTTATTACTTGGTGGGATAGTCGTCGCGGTTCCAGCCCCTTGGGAACTGATGACTAAATTCCCGTCGTGGTTCATGGAGTAAATGATAGAGACTCCGTCTGCGCTTTTGGGGGGAAGTGTGGTGATATCGCCGGGGTTGAGGGGTGAGAGGAAAGGGATGTTGAAGACTTGGGTTATGCTGTGGCTTTGCCTTGGGGAGGTGGAGATTATCTCTGTGGCGATGAGGGATATTGAGATAGCTGAGATGGGGGGTTCTTCTCCAGGTTGCGGAAGGTTGTTGATTGGAGGAGGGCCATCGGCTGGGAAAGATTTTGGATCTTGGTTGTTTGGAATATGAGGTCCAACAGGCTCGCCTGGATTTGAAGGCTGGTTGTGAGATATTGCGGGAGTGTTCCCTCCTGGTGGTTCGCTCAAGGGTTCATGTTGGATATTCTCTGGCAAAGGAGATACTTTGTTTACATTAGGATTGCTATTCGAATTCGGCAATTCGCCGTGGTTGTAGGATGCAGGATCAGAGACTGGGTTATTGAGATTTGGAGGTGTATTGCCCTGTGGAGTTGGGTTGTTTTCCGAGCCTGCTAGCAAAGTGTTACTGCCAACTGATGAGATACTTCCTGGTTCTTGAAAGCCAACATTAAGTTTATCGTCAGATGAGCCATGGTCAAGACTACCAGGGGAAGGTCTAGTGTTCGACTGAGCGTTATTTCCTCCCCTTACGTTCCCACCAGTAGGGTAATGTTCGAGATTTCCCGGCCTGGGAGCATTGTTTATCTGAGCTGTTGCCTTGGGCTCAGAATAGGCGGTAGATGTACCTGTATACACAGACACTTTCGTCACAGCCTCCGGAGATGTATTTGGAGCCAGCCCTGGGATCCCAATAGGTACCGGAGAAGCAGCAGGTTGACTGGTGTTTGGATAACGAGGACTTGGTACAGGACCTGGCGGGGTAATTGGTACGATCGGAGTGAGAGCCGAGTCAAATATCAGCGCGTGAGGAGGGTCTGGCATACCAAAATATCGATGTTCAAACTTTATGCTACACGAGTTCCAGGCGGGTACGTTGAGCCAGTCGAATGCGGGGATTCGAATGAAAGGGTTACAGCGGAAGTGCTGGTGATTCCTGGTATTTAGTAGAGACAGGTAATCCTCGTCTTCTTCTGTGACAGCGGAACCGTTAGATCTCGTTAGCGGTGGTGTTTTCTTGTCGAGTGTTGAGGGACAGGAGGTGTATAGATGCGCTAGTTGTAGTTGCGAAGATGGTGCTGTAAGGCCCATCTTCTCATACGTAAATGGATTGTTGGGATCGGGCGTTGGATCTCGGATACTGCCCACGAACTGGACGTAATCCATTACACTGCTCATTCCGAAGCCGGCGAGGTCGTAGGTGGTCAGTTGGGAAATGTCGAATGGGTGGACGACGTTGGTTAATATTGGTCCGATTCGAGAAGTACTTGAATCCCGCATCTTGGCTCCGGTGCTGAATATACAGGTTATTTTCTCTGAGCCTATGGTGGTGGTACTTGTTACGTTGGCGAATTGCCATGTTGTGCGGAAATATACGTCGTGTGCGGTGATTGATTGCCATAGCATATATACCGAGGGAGAAGTGCTGATCAACCCTCGATTAGAATATTGATACGCATGTTCTGGGAAGTTGGAACTGACATACAAAGTTTTGTTCAAACCTGGCACGAGTAACGTAGAAGGATGGGATACATTCTTGGAAGCAGTGCTCGTTGGGAAGTAGACCAGCTGCACCGTGATACCATCTCTGATAGAAAACGTGTCAGTGATAGTGACTAAACGGTACTATTCGTACTTACACTTCACAAATCCTCGCATTTCTTATCGAGGGAGATACGGCCTGTTCCTCTCTAACTCCTTCGTTGATTCCGCGCTTGAGACCAAAACCAAGTCCTTGCCTAGTAGAAACAAACGACGAACAAGCTTCCAACGTTGCATTTTTGGAGATCCTATGCCTTGTGAGGTTGGCAGCTGGTGATGGTGTGATGAGAGCCTTGGGAGAATTGAATGTTGTTGATGATGCAAATGAGCGTGAGTTAAGACTTTGTGTAGTATTGAGTAATGGGAGCTCCCTTCGACCATTTGCAACAAAGGCATCTAGTGGGAAAAGCTAATCAGCCTCCATGTCTTCGTTTTAACAATATTGTCATTAGTTACCTGTGGAAATATCTCTCAGGCTGGCGAGAAGCGAGATAGTAAGAGCCAGAGAGAATACACGAAACCCCAGCATTTTAAAAAATTAACGAAAGTGATTGAGGATCGCGATACAGACACAGTCATTTTCCAATTAACGACATCATATACGGCATATATGTCGTTCCGTAGGAACTGCTACCTTTCCAGACAAGATTACCTGCATATTGCATAGGAGCCTCTGACGTTACACTGCCAAACAGCCCCCAAAATCCACCATGTTACTTGAATCTTCATACCAACTCTGAAGCAGCGAGTAACCGCCCAGCAAGTATCACAATCTTTCCCATCCAATAAAGTCTGGGAATCATTAGTGTTGGATTCTCAGGGGAAGACAGAAAAGAATGAGCTGTGCCTTAATATGGTTTGTGCCTGGGAATGAATCCTTCACTGTACTCGAAAGGAGGATTAGAGAAACTGCGCCCCCTTGCCTCGTGGGGGCGGAAATATTTCGATCACGATTTGGTACACATTTTGGTAAGTGCTGGTATCACCGCAGTTCTCGAAACCATTTTTGGAAAAGAGGATGAAGTAACCAGCCCCATCAGATGTTTTGTTGCTTGAGAAAGGAAGTAGGTGGCTCCTCCACCCACGCTTATTCAGGGTTACACACCCTAGGCGCCGTGACAATTTCAAAACCTATCACCAGGATATTTCGAGAATAATGGCAGGATTTACAGTGAATGAGGATGAAGGCTTAGTAAGCTACTCGCATGGTGGGATATATAGCCCACCACACTACTACCACATGCCTTCAACACCACTACTACCACCATATTGTCAGCTATACTTTTGTGAGCTCTTTTGTCCCACCCACATTCCCCTCGCTGAAAGGCTCGCCTGGCGACTTGGGAGGGTCTTAGACCGAGTTCGTTTATGCCCCAGGAAGGGGTGCGGTTTTTGTTGGCCGAAGTTATCGCCCTGCTCTATGCCGCTTGTTCTTCTAGAGTAGAGCGTTTTGTACTTCTTTGCATATCTGGCTGAAGTTATCGCCCTGCTCTATACTTTGTATTTCACCAGATAGAGCCTCCGAATTAGTCTATAATGTGGTCGAAGTCCGAGCACTTGGCGTGGGCCTTTTTATTAGAAATTTATGTTCTTTCTTTTACAGGCTAGGTGCTTGTTTGTCCCACCCACATTCCCCTCGCTGGAAGGCTCGCCTTGCGATTTGGGAGGGTTTTGGACCCTAGCTTAGAGGGTGCTTTGTGCCTTGCTTTCCACAAATCGAGCCTTCTAATTAGCTAGCTAATATACCAGCTGGGATCAGGAGTGGTTCTCGTATGTAGGCAAGGTATAAGCACTTGAAGTAGTTAGTCAAACTGCCCCCCGCAAGGGGTGCGTAGCCGAGGGTGCTTATTCTTCTCTTTCCACTTATATGTGGGCGAATTATAAGCACTTGAAGCTAGCCAGCAATACAAAAGAAAACCAACAATAAGCCTCCTTTGATCATTGATGTGACGTGTGCCACTGACGATTGAACATAAAAGACAACTTGAATCACCGACGGCGAACTCCCTGGATATCGCAGAATACTTTCATTATACCCCGAAATTCGATTTTCAAGTACCGACCAGAATAGTAGAGCCACTAAAGTTATAGTAAGCGCAGCCTGTGTCGAAGAGTATATAAGATACTAAAGATAGCTTGATTTATTTTACGTTTGCCGGTAGTTATCCATTTGTTGCGATATATTCACGTGATATTCCGGGCTATATATACGCCCGGATTCCACGTAGTAAACACACAATCAATTATACACTACTACGACTTCTGTACCTTTATTATCACTCGTCGTCGTACTTTTGTTACTGTTTCGTACCTATAATGGCATCACCTACATGCCCTTATTATCCCACCAAGTTATACTAACACCATTATATTAGGAAAGACTATTATATAACCAATTAATAGATTTCTAGAAAAATAGAGATAGTATATACTATATGTAGTTTTCCTACAAAGTTAGCTATAAGTTAAGCGAGAATCTCCTTTGATATCTGTCGTAACAAATACGACCCCTTTGTTTATGTCACCTGATTAGACCCACTTGCTCTAGTACTGTACCTTAAGTACTCGAACGATACCACTCCTTAGTACTTAGACAACAGTGGAGTATTATACCTGTTGCGATATATTCCACTCCTTTAGTCACGTTATTTTAGACCCACTTCGTTCGAGTACTTAATACTCGAACTCTCACACTCACTTAGCTCCTTAACAATCGAATCACGGATGTAACCACCTATTGCCTGTTTACCTTATCCTGTTGGATTCCCTCTGGGAATTCGACAGATATCTCTATACCAACAATACCAGCTCGACCAGTACCTTTCTTTCTTTGCTTTGATATCTAAGATATCTATATACCAACAATATTATTTTCCAGTAAGCTAGGTATATATAAAGTGATAGCTATATCTCATACCTACAAGCTAACACTATAATTTAGCTCTCAACTACCGACCATAACCCTTTTATACAACAGCCAAATTTTATAAAAAATTAACATTCCCATAGCTATTAAAAGCAGATCTCACAAGAGGAAAACGGGAAACCCATGATAAATAAACGATGAAATCTTCGTCTTGTGCAACAAAGCAACGTGATGTGCGCTCAACTCTATAATCTTCATACTCTATTCACCACAAGTAAATAAAACGCCATTCGCTATGCAAAAGTCCCAGCATCCCGCCCATATCCATATATCTCATAAACTCCATTATGTTTTTCCCATCCAAAAATTCAGAGAGGCCGTGTATCCGCGTCCATCGGGATTTACAGGCTCTCTATACTCCATAATCATCGAGATTTGGTATCTCAATTCGCCTGTGTGGTCTCTTTAACAGACCAAGCACGAACCGCTCCATCATCTCCAGTCGATACAAGCATTTCCTCTGAATCCGATTTCCTCCCTGAATCATACCGCTTGCACCACGTAACATGGTTAACTTCATACGGCCCATGTGCTCCTTCCAGAATACCAATCACGACCCATTCTCGCTCAATCTCACCACCGACACTCGTTCGTCCTCTGGTTTGTTCTTCATAGATGACTATTTGCCCATCACTGCTCGTACTAGCCACCCGACCACTCAACTGAGACCATGAAATGCTGTAGATAGGCAAAGTATGAGCCTTTGGGAGTGTAGCAGTACATTTCCACGTCTCCTCAGAAGGACCCGGTCGCATGGTCGAAGGGATTCCATGCGAGAAGTAAGAAGGCTTATTCATTGGTGGAGGCGAGGGGACTTTGGTCCAGACTCGAATTGTCAAGTCTGCCGAGGAGGAAAGGAGACGGGCGGTTCGTCGAATATATTCGCTCTCGTTATCTGTGCCGTGTGAGACTGCGAATCTCTTTTGCACGACTTCTGGCTCCCATTGCAAGGCCCAGACGGTTCCATCGTGTCCCTCCAGTACCGCGATGCATGACCATTCTCCTTCGTCATCGCCACGCCATAATCGGATCGTGTCGTCGTATGAGCCGCTGGCAAGTACTTCCCCCTCTCCGTCGTCTTTGCGCCAGCATACGCATTTGACATCTGCATCGTGCTCTTGTAGTACCGCCACCGTCTCGAATTCGTCTTCGCCGTCCTCTCCTATCTCCTCCCAAACCCATATCGATTTATCCCGACTGCAAGATGCCAAGTACTGCGCAGAAGGCGAATAATCCACACACTTGATCTCGCTATCATGGCCCTCCAACACGATATTATATTCCCAATCCTCCGCAGTCGAGGTATCTGATTCGTCATCGTCGCGCATTTGCCCGCGATGCGGCTTCGCTTCTCCCAGACTTGAAATCTCCATCTCAATCGCATCATCGTCGTCCCCATTGGGTACGCCTTGCTCCGCTATGCTACCCGCGCCGAACTGCTCATGGCGATGCCATATCCCCATCGTCGCATCGAAGCTCCCAGTCGCAACAGACATCTTGCTCGTCCTCTTGCTCGTAGGTTTCCATGCCACACTCCTCACGCTCCTATCATGCGCATTCTCCAATTTACTATGCAGCGTAAAGTTGGCGAGGGAGTAAACGCGTACTGTCTTGTCTGAGGTGGGCGTCGCGATGAGGGGTATATTATTTGGATTAGGTATTGATACCCAGGCGCGGGAAAGAGCTGGGGGTTTGAAATCCGCCAGGTGGGAGATGGAAATGGTATGGGGAGATGGAGATGACATGGTAATCTTTTCTCCTTAAGATAGGATAAAGGAATATCTTGGAGAAATGGGGGAGACGAAGTTGAATTCGCAGTTGGGAAAGTTGATCAGAGATTGGACTTGAGATTTGCGCACCGACCATCTCTTAGTAGTGGGGGTTTTCACAGAAAAGGCAACTGGAGCCGACTCCAGCCGCAGATACATTTTTATACTGTAGCGCTTTTTGCTTCACTTTTATTTATTATTAGGGGACGCCTGCAGTAATAGAAGGTCTGTCAGTGTTCAAAATCCACAAAAGTATATGGCTCCTTCTGGTGTTGGTCAAAGTAACAAATTACCTGGGTAAAGGATGTGGTTTTAGCTTTCTTTCACACACACAACATCCTGTCTAGATGTACATGGAACTTCGGCTTTCAGAGAGAAGAAAGAGAGGAGAATGGTACCGCCGTAGAGGTACTTTCAGATAATGTCGATTCACAAAACTACCTGGGAATCTGGCATAACAAAATTTGGCAGAGAGAACAGCGAAGTGAGGGGCACATATGAAAAGCGGACCGAAAATCAGCCAGGAATTCGTACAGTAAAGTAAGTTTGATTGGCCAATTCTAGCGAACGAGAATTCTCCTATTTTCCTAGAAACTTCCTCACTTCTTGGTTGATTCCAGCTCTACGGAACCTCCAATTCATCCCATCTTTTCGCGAGCCGCCATCACCCAATCCGAAAAGCCGTTAGCAGGTCAAAATGTCATAGATGTTTCGAGTTTCGCCTTACTTCTACTCGAAACGTCAGCCAGCCGACGCTCCGTGGGGGGCTTTGGTACTGCCGTCTGATCATGTACGAGTACTCGAACCTGCGGAGAAAACACTCCTTCTTTCTGATCGATCGCCAATCGAGGCTAACCGAGAAGAAAATGGCCAAGAGGGTACCGCCATATCCCCGTTGATCCTCCAAAAGAAAAAAAAGGGGCTGGAACTTGACCAACCAACTCATTGTTCCTCGTTGGCATAATCGTTCTCACTACCGGTTTGCTGGGTCCATCCTCGCCAACGTCCCTATATTTATAAAGGTATACTCCAGTACTTGCTCCTCGACAGTTTCATCAACAACCACTCGCAAACTGCCTCTCCTATATTTCTTCCCCGGCTGATGTCATATATTCCGCTTTTGCTGCACTCCGCGACAGACTCCTGTTCGTAATTTGAGGGAAATTCAATTTCATACTTCCCAGATCGCCATATCCCCGTTACCACGTTGACGTGCATTGATTTACTCTGGGGTAGTCCCTCGCTAGGTGGCTGAGGAGTTGCTTCCTCCCAGCCATTCTTCCAACTTTTGATCTTTTTTTGTCTTCCCCAACCTCACGGTTCTGGTCATTTGGATGGACTTCCTTGTATTCTGAAAGTAAAGGAGGAGGAGGGGATCCAAGTGGCAGTTGATTCTCATCAGAGACTGTAATTGCCATGGTTGGCATATCAAATTTGAGATGATGGGGGCTGGCCAGGCGTTTGGTGTGAGTACCGATGAAACGAAGTATATAGGGGATCACAATCCCATTCCTTTCTGCATCTGATTTAGTTTTTCAAACTTTTCAAAAATATATACCGCATAATCTCTCCCTTGCGCTTCGCGTCCTTCAAGTAGGACGCTTTCAAGACGGACAGACGCTCCAGACGTCCAAGTTCCCATTTTCGTTCATCCCCAGATCCTTACCTAGGCAAATTCGACTTTGAGAATCCATCTGGCGAAGAAAGTGATCACTCAGAAGACGACGTCCAGACAATGGACAGTGACGGTCAATTGGTCAAACGACCAGGCTCTCCCATTGTCCCGGCTTCTCCAGGAAGAGCATATCAACCAGGTCAACCACGTATCAACTACTCTCCAGAACGCCCCCAAATTGAAGCAGCGAGTGAGGAAGCGGCCCCCAGAGCTGGTCTTCGTCGTAGAGCCAGTCATCAGAATCCACTACGCACCTCAGGAGAATTCGATACACGTCCTAGTTCATCCCGTCCAATAAGGCCACGCGGAGACGACGGCTACCATAGTAGCCAGGAAGACGAAAGAGCTCCCCGTTCTCGTCACGATGACTACCATCACCATCCCGATTCAAGAGAACGCTCTCGTCCTCCTCGCAGCTATAGAAATGGAGAATGGGATCGGGCACCAACTTCCGCTTCTAAACCATATTTCGAGGAGTCTCGTCATGATTACTCCGATAGAGACTTGGAGAGAGGAGAGCCAGATTACTCCCCTTCCCCAAGGAGGAGGAGAGCGAGCACGGTTGAAAGCATCGATGGGTACAACTACTACGCCCACCGGAAGGGAAAGGTCGATTTTAAATCTCTCTCCAAAGCAGAACAAAAGGAGATTCTCAGACTTCCATGGACTGAGTGGATGAACTCGGATTTCAAGAATCGTTTGTCTCTCCTTCCCCTAAAGTGCGACGCGATATATACTCACAGAACATTCCAGATTTCGTAGCAACCCTAGGAGAATTCGTCGGTACGACCATGTTCCTCTTCTTCGCCTTCGCCGGCACCCAAGTAGCCAACATCCAATCCGCAGCATCCTCCACTACCACCTCCGGAGGCGCAACTGGCTTCAACATCTCCGTCTACCTCTACATCAGCGTTATCTTCGGCTTCTCTTTGATGGTCAACGTCTGGATCTTCTTCCGTATCTCAGGTGGACTATTCAACCCCGCCGTCACACTAGCAATGGTCCTCGTCGGGGCCGTCCCACCCATCCGCGCCATCTTCCTCTTCAACGCCCAAATTGTCGGTGCGATTGCGGCGTCAGGAATGGTCATCGGTATGTTCCCTACGAGTTTCAATGTCAGGACGACGCTTTCGGGCGGTTCTAGTTTGGTACAGGGGGTGTTTATTGAGGCGATTCTTACGGCGGAACTCGTGTTTACGATCTTCATGTTGGCGAAGGAGAAGCATAAAGCTACGTTCATTGCGCCGGTTGGTATTGGGCTTGCGCTTTTCATTGCCGAGATGGTGGGGGTGTATTATACGGGGGGATCGCTGAATCCGGCAAGGAGTGTGGGGCCGTGTATTGTGACTTGGACTTGGGATAAGGAGCATTGGATTTATTGTGAGTTTTCCTTCTTCCCCATCCCTTTCATTTCCCTAACCCTCACCCATATATCTCTCACTCCTCCGCGTTGATATTCTGAAACCAACGACATAATACTCATATTTCCAAACAGGGGTAGGACCCTTCATCGGCTCCCTCATCGCCGTTATCTTCTACCGCTTCATCAAGATGCTCGAGTACGAGATGGCGAACCCAGGTCAAGACGGCGACGACGTCAACGACCCGACCAAGAACCCGGAGAAGCGACAGGAGATCCAGCGTCGACGGGAGCAGAAACAAATGGAACGAATTAGTCGGAGGAATACCAGGGATTAAAATCCTCCGACTTGAGAGGATGATTTGACGATTTGATGAGTGGTTGGATTGATACCTTGTTCAGACTGCGATGAAGAGGGGTGGGTAATTTGATGGAAGAGAAAACGAGAAAACAGAAAAGAAAAGAAGGGAGTTTTTGATATGGTATAGTATGGGATGGTATGGTTATGATAATGGGTTATGAGACATGTTAATGAAGCACGAGACACGATTCGAAAATGATTGCGTGGGTGGCTATTTATGTTTTTTGATTTATAGGTTTATGGCAATGGGTACTTGGTTTTTGCGTGCAATGGACCGAGATGGAACTTTCATTGGATCTGGAATCTGAATCTGTTATCTATTACTTAATTGCGTCTTGGGGATTAATTGAACACTATCATGGATTTGAGTCACGGCAGTCTATATTGAGCGTGTCGAGAACTGTATGAAAGGAATCACTTCTACGCTTTTAATTGCTTATTATGCATCCATGTCTCTGCTTCATCGAGGAAAACTTGAATTTTACTAAAGATGCTTCTTTTTTGACTCTATTGTTACCTTACGTATTCAGCGTTGACTCCAGACCATTAATATCCTGAACCAATACCTCCCCAACCCTAAGCCGTTTTTAATTCTCCTTAGCCCCCGCCCCCTTCTCCCCCTCCCTTATTCCTCTTATCCCCTTATTTCCCTTTACCATCTAAAACACCACACACCCACAATCTATCCCAACCCAAGACCCCTAAGAGAACACAACTAATAACCCAATTCCCATCTTCGAATCTATTAATCTATTAATTAATCTCCTCCCCCCTTCTCTCCCCATGTAACTCTTACCTCTCTCTATCACAACTCTGCCTACAAAAAGCCGGACATAATCCCACACCCAGACCAGGTCTCTTACTCACCTGATTAATCTATCTCTCTCCTTAACTTAATTCTTAATTCTATATCAAATTATCAATTAATCAATCCAGGACCCCATCTCCGTCTCTTCCTTATCTGAATAAAGTAGTGAAACTCCGTAGCGATGTTAAAGATCGGGAGTTTGAAATTTAGGGTTAGAAGGGTCTAGAAGGGGATAGATAATATGTTTATACTGCTTATATTGTTATTAATATAGAAGATAAAGTAGACGAGTATGGTCGATAACATCTTTAAGATTATGGAGGTAATCGTTAGTCCTGTATTTATAACCTAGTATTTCGTATCTAGAGAGACAATAGCTACTAGGACAATGAAAGCTCTTACTTTACTCGCTTATATTATATCCCCTATATCGCTTAGTTAAAGAAGTCCCCTCTCCTTAATAATACCGTAATCGACTACTTCTAATCTTTACTATTACTATACTAAAGTATTCCTACTATATCCTTCGTTAACTATCTCTTACTAAAATTGTAATCTTAATTTCTTAGAATGAAGCTTAGGGGATAGTTTTCAACGTAGGAACAAAATAATTAACTAATTAATTAATACTCTAAACTATTTAGATTTCATTTAATTTAATCTAATTAATAGGTCTAGTTAATTTAATATAATTAACTAATTTAGTTAATTAGAGTATTAATTAATTAATATATACTATAAATAATAACTAAAGTACTAAGAATACATTCTTAAATAACGCGTCTTATAGTAATAAATCTTTATCCTTATCTACGAAGAACCCCTAACTTTTTAAGCTTATTATTACCTCTAGGCTCTCTTTTACTATCCTAGATATTCCTATTTTACCTATATTATATGATTTTATGTAATCCCCTATATTAGTTGTAATATATAACTAGTACTATAAGCCTTCTACTAATAAAGTAAGGGAAGAGTATATATAGCTAATAAGTAAAGAGGTTGAATATATAAACATTTAATTAACTCACTTATACGAAGGTGGGGCGGCTCGGGCGGGCATAATCCGAGCCGCCGGATCAACTACGGCTGTATCGGACCAGCCGCCCGAGTCTCGGACCGACCCGACTCCGTATTAATCTAAATCAATCTAAATTAATCAGATTACTTAGTGTAACGAATACTCAAACTGGCTAACTAAACTTGGCTGGGTGTTCGCTGGTTGGTATGCTATGATAAGAAGAAGACTATCGGGTTGTTCACTTGGAAGTGAACTCGTTACTTGTATCAAAGATGTCAAACTAATATGATAAGATTGATAACTAAGTTGAGCACGAAGCTCCTATCTAATGGCAGACGTGCCAGTCTTATATAGATCCTTCGTTCTCCTTAAGTCACAAAGTCGACAACGACCATGTCGCCCTGCATATATCACGTGACCCTCTACATGTGAAATCCTTGGATCGCTTAGCTACTCTAAGCATCCCTATTTGCTATAACTATCCTGATGTGCCTGTCCTGTCGGAACGCCGTCTGGACTAACTCATCACATGACGCGGGGCATGCCCTTTAGCACGTGATTCGTGACACTTAGCGATTTGATTTGATTAATCGATATATATTAATCTGATTTGATTTGATTAAGTACTGTTGGTGCGACCTGGTGGTCGTGACGACGGCGAATACGGGATTCTGATCACCCTCTGTTGGGGTAACTAAATCGGTGTATTCATTTGTTCGTGAAGAGTAAAGGTAGAGAGAGGTGGTACTCTACGAGCTTAAGTATGTGAGTGGCAAGCTACTCACATGACACCAAGCATGTAGAACCACCAGGCTCTCGTACGAGGTGCTAATCACTATAATTATATACCGACAGTACTATTAATTAAATCAAATCAAATCATTTTCTACGCTGGACCATTTTTGATAGGGATTTGCGAGTAGGAATACTCGAGTAGGTGGTTTGAAAATAGGAGTTAGTTCGATTGAAGGGAATGTTTCTTTTTGGTGTTATTTACGTATGAGGATTTCGAAGGAAAGTGGGGCAGGGGACTGCTTGTGATGGAGAGGTCGTATGGTGTTTTGAATCCAGTGACTAAGTAGTGGCTGGCTAATTTCCATCCGCGGCTGTGGACGTATGCTCATGTACGCATCCTCAGTCAATGGGTGGCGTTCCACTACCCTGACGTCCTTCCACTTGTTGACTTTTCACTGACGGCCTTACCTCTATATCCAATTTCTGTAAAGATCTCACCTTCGAGGTCTCTACCTTGAAATGACTTAGTCGCTAGGCGGTTAAAGTCGCTTAGAAACGGAAATTCACAGCAACAAGATCTCATCACTACGGTTTCCCACATCAAGACTTCACAAATGCACTCACTCCCATATTCCGTCACTCATCCAAATACAACCCCCTCTCCCTAATAAACTCACCAACACCTTTATCAACCAACTGCCTCAACGCCTCTTCATCCCCCTTTTTTACAGCCTCCCTCACCTTCGTACTACTAACCACTTCCTCCCCGTTCTTCCTTCCCTCAACCATCACAATCCTCCCCTCAGTCACCCACGCCCTCACTCCACCATATTCCTCAAGACCCCCCCCCTCATTCTCCCCCTCAACAGCCATCCCATCCCTAACACACAACCTCCCCTCCCCAATCCCCCTCACAAACCCATCCTGCGCACCCCTATCACCCCACTTATCATCCGTCCGATACGTAACCTCCAAACGATGCCTCCCCAAAAACGGCACCAAACTTGCCAGCGTATTCCCTGGGTAGTATTTCGGAGAAAGGAGTCGGGTCAGGGTATCATACCCGATGAGGTGGATTTGTTCGCTTTGCCCTTCTCTTTCGTAGATGGCTTCTTGTGCTATAGATGCGGATTTATCGACGAAGTAGGGGTGTTTTGTGACTCCGATGTCTATGACTAGTTCGTTGGAGAGGGGCGGAGAGAGGGAAGAGAGGATGGAGGATGCGAAGAGTTCCATCATTACTAATCGCTCCGGGAAAGAGGCTGGTTTTGCGGCTTTATCTGCATTTTGCGTTGCGAGGAGGAGGAGGAGTCTCGGGGTCTGTTGGGGGCTTGGAGGGTCTGGTTTGGCGGAGTTTTGTTGCGCGGAGAGAAGAGATGTGAGGATGATTCGGTGGTGTGCTAGTGTCGGGGGATTGAATGAGGAATCCAGGATGTGGAGGGGTTTAGGGGGGGAACCTGTTGATGCTGCGAGGAATTTTGGCATGGAGGATGCGCGATTAGATATCGAGTGTAGGATTTGGAATATGTGTTTTGAAGATGTGAAGAAGTCGAGGAGGGTGGAGTAGGTTGATATTCGGGCGGCCATTTCGGAGGCGGAGGGAGTGGAGAAGGATGCGGTTGTCATGGTGTTGTTGACATTTAGGGGGTGAGAAAAGAAGGTTGTAATCTATAGCTGCTTACTACAGTTCAGGGCGTTCGTGGTGTGGTGGTGAGAAGTGGTGTTGTTGGTTATGATGCAGGTGGCGTCGATCACCCAATTTGAAGATCCAACCCCACACAAGGCTGTCATGCAAGGCTACATACAGTACGCAAAAGGCTACACAAAATCCCCCGGGTGACCCGAGTACTAAGACTTGTACTAGTATTGACGACACCACTTTCTCTCAGCTCCATCCTCACCATCTCCATCTTCCACTCTCCCGCCGCCGTCAAAATGGTGTTGGTACAGAATTGGCTTCCTCCCTCCAAGGAGAATTGGGAACTTGTCGTCTGGGGTTTCCAATTCTTCCCTCTTGTACGTATTACCATGTACCACCCTCTCAAGTCAAATGGAGACTAATTGAGACAAACAGATCACAATCTTCCAATGGACAAGCACATATTACCCCGCCGGAAAAACGTCTGTTGAATCGCGTCTCAATATCCCCGGAAAAATCGCCTGGATCACCATGGAAGTCCCAGGTTTCTTGACGCTGTTGTATGTCATGAGTACCTTGCCAAAAGAACTCGGAATCAAAGAGTTACCATGGGAGAATATAATAATGGGATCTTTATTCGTATGTCTTTTCGAATACCAATTTCAATCCAATACAAAAACAAATTGATACTAATTGCTGTACAACAGGTTATCCACTACCTCTACCGGGCCATCATCAACCCCCTCCTCAACCCCTCAATGTCTCCAATTCACCTCCTCAGCTGGTCCCTAGCAATCGCCTTTCAACTCTCCAACGGCCTCTCAATCGGCGGCTACCTCGCGGGCTACGGCCCCCTAACCCGCTCGGACTGGTACAACCATTCCACCCACACAGCCCCCTACATGCCCGCCGCCATCATGGAACTAGGCTTCATGATCTGGGGACTCGGACTAGCAGGAAACATCTACCACGACGACGAACTACGAGAAATCCGCCGCGCCGCCCAACGAAAACTCGACAAGAAATTGCAAGAAGCCGGTGATGACAAAGGGAAGAGACAGGGGGTAAGTAAAGTATACATGATCCCCCAAAACGGCATGTTCCGATGGATTTTCTTCCCCCATTATTTGTGTGAGTGGACTGAATGGGGCGGGTACTGGATTATGGCCGGCTGGGGAGCGACGCCTATGAGGACCTTTTTGGTGAATGAGATTACGACGATGTTGCCACGTGCGATTGCGGGGAGGAAATGGTATCTTGCGCGCTTTGGGGAGAAGGAGGTTGGGGGAAGGAAGGCGATTATTCCGGGTTTGATTTAGATTACATGGTTGGGTATTGAAAAGGGGGCGTAAGATTGGGGCTTTGGTGGGAATGGGATTAGGTACTTCAAATGCTATTCTCAAATAGTTGGACCTATTTGGGGAAACATTTCACTATGCTCTTGCCAGTCTCCCATCCCACCTTTCAAACAAACAACCTCGCTTACCACTCAACTCTCACACCCCTTAAGCGTCGATACCTATCCCCGAAATCTAACCACCAAAACCACCCCAAGAAACCAAGTCTTCCCCCGATTCGAATACGATCTTAATCCTCATACCTAGACCCTAGAAGCTAAATGAACTCCAACATCTGCACACTAAGAAGCAGCGAGTATATCTACACACCAGTAATGTCGAAGAATTACGGTATAATCCCACCACCTAACGATCCACAAACCCATTCCAGCCGTGCGATGCGAAGCTTTTGCATTAATCTATATGAATGACCTCGCCTCTTACTGTAAGATGTCATTCCATACCCGGTTCTATCTATAGAGGGTCTGGACTGCTAGGATCTTTCCCCCTCCCTGGTCACTCCCTACTATACCCCCACATGAATCGGAAAATACAATTGGCTCATAGGGTTACATAGTGGAGTTACATGCTACCTACATCAAATCATATACATTGCTGGGGGCGACGCGAGCCATACAGACCCTCGACAAAATCTCACATAATTTACTCAAACTCATACCCCCGCCAGTTACTACAGCCGTCCTCAATGAAATGTCGAATTCCTTCCAGTACCATAAAAACCCCGCACGAGACCGGACGAACGACGGAATCTTCGGACGAAAAACACATCCCTATCCCAAAAGCCGCGGACAAAACCCAGAAATTATTATCCGGGATTCCGGGTGGAAAAGTGCGATGTGCAACTTTTCTTTGCGACATTTTTATGCTGCTTTTGGAAGATTTTAGTGTGGAAGTGTGGCCTGGTGGTGGGTAGGGGTGTGAGGATTATGTTTTGTTGGATTGTTATAAGGCGCTTTTGGGGTTGTTTTGGTTCTGAGTTTGGTGGTGGGATGAGTTGAAGGGGCTGGAAGGGGGTGGGAAGAGGGGAGTTGATTTTGAGGGAGAATTGAATCTTAAATACTAGATATGTTATACTGATAGTATGTTATTAAAATACTTGAATCCTCCATATCTAGGTCATATCTCTACTATAGTAGGTTTAACCATATTAGTTATTATTACGAGTCTACGCGAAACCTTAGACTTCTATTAGATCGAAACACTACGAAATATGCTAGTGCCTCTACTAGTGTATCTTGGCATAATCACATCCAATTATTACAGCCCTACGGGCATTTGTGGCTCCGGGGCCAAGAGCCGGGTTTTTCGGATGAAGGTCGTTCGTTGTAAGACTCTTGGATGTCTTGGTGTAATGTGCTTGTATGAACGACACGAAGGAAGTCAAAGAATGAGACTGACGTGAACAGGTGCACGAGGTGATCAAGAATAGTCCAACTTATTTTGGTGACGATATAATGAAGTCGCTTAACAGGGAGCTACCCACGAGTCTCGACCGCCGCCGCGATACAAAAGAATAGGCAGACTGGCGACAAGTTGTATTTAGTCTTTGTTTCTCCAGTCCTGTGCTGGGTTTACCTTCATGTAATTCCAGAACCGTGGGCAATTATAGCTTATGGAATGTTGCACATAAGCGCAGCCAGAGAGAATGAGCCCAAGCGTAAGGAAATGATACAGCCTGCAAAGAATGTACTATCTTGATACATCATTTTGGATATCTCAGTTCTGACTAGCATTATGTTCGTATTATGAAACATAATGAGGCAACATGATATGTTGATCCAACGTACGTCTTCTAAGCGAAAATATCGTTTAGTCGCAACTTCAAGAGTCGCAGACGAATAGACTCATCTCGCAGGGTTGTTCCGACTTTTCGATAATTGAGCGTCGCTTTTTGGTTTCCTTTTCATCAGAAATTCTTAACCTAATTTCCTGATCTGCGGAAAGACATGTCGAAGACGAAGCTTTAAGTGAGTTTCCTGAAGAGTCAAACATGACCGATTTGCATGTTAGCTTTCACCAACCAGAAAGTGCTCCTTGACATTGCCCATGTATTGACCCTATCCTTGTAGGACATTGGCAATCAGTGCAATAAGTATCCGATGCTCTTAGCAGAGACCATCAACCCTAATCTGAGGGAGAGGCGTGGTTTGAGAGACAAATCCACCAGAGTTGGAAAGTCTTCCTGCTAATTGTCATGAAAATGCTTAAGTGTCGTCAACAGGCTTAAGTGTCATCAACAGGCTTAAGTGTCGTCAACATACTTAAGTGTCTCAACGTGCGATTTGCAACAAAACCAAAATTGCCACCTCTTATTGGCCAACAGCGCCAAAAGGTGCTTAAGTGTCCACAATATTCTTAAGTGTCCTTGAAAGATCCTTAAGTGTCCTTGAAATATCCTTAAGTGTCTCCAGTTGCGATATGCAACAAAACCAAAATTGCAAGCTTTTGTTGGCCAAAATTATCAGAACGTGCTTAAGCGTATACAATATCCTTAAGCGTCCTTGAGAATTTCTTAACTGTCTCTGATTGCGAGATGCAACAAAGTGCAATTGCGATATCTTATTGGTTCAAGCTCCTTACAAAGCATTCAAGTCTCTTGAAAATACTTAAGTGTTCTTGAAAGCTTCCCAACGGTCTCTGATTGCGAAATGCAACAAAATTACAATCGCGAATTTCCATTGGCCAAAAACAGTAAGTATTCTTAGGTGTCCTTGAATGCCCTTTAAGTGTCGGTGGTTGCGAAGTGCAACAAAAGACCAGCCATGTGCTTTCAGTGTTTCACGCTGAACTGGCAACTTCGTCTTTCTTGTAAGTATACGCGTTGAATTCACCCAACCGCCACCAAGCTACGTATTGACACATCGTTCACAAATAACGAAGTTCATGGATGTACCATATAGTGATAGTAAATATCCGCTTGATTTCTCAAGAATACAATCATATTAAAAGAAGATTTTCTTTCACAAAAACCAAAACAGTATAAATGTTAATATTAGAAGCCCTCCTCCATGACCCCCTGAGTCAAACTCCTCTTGCACATTTGTGATTGCTTGAACTGGAAAACATATCGTTGTTTATAGGAAGGACTTAAAAAGGGGCATGTGAGTCAACAGAGCGAAGGATAAACAACTACCTGGAGCCTTTGAATTCAATCCAGGAATTCAATCAGGCCATAGTACAAGAAACCCTCTGAATACGTGTTCATCTAAACAGTTTTAGAGATTATGATCCTGCCATGAGCCATATACATGAGCTTTTCAAATGCGTTTTTGTTTTCTCGTTAGTTTAGAGACTGAAAGTATTAATGAAATTAGCGTTTTTCCGGGAACGGTTTTGAGACTAGTCATAGACTATTAGATATTTAAGACTCCTACCTTGCTATTACTTTACATTTCCAGATACGACCTTTCATTATGCCCACTTTGCGGACCATATTATCTTACTGTGTCTCAAGTGTACCTGGACGACATGGTGGCTTGCTTGACTCTTGAAAAAAGAATCTAAAAGTGAGGCTTAAGGGCGATAAGATGACACAAAAGTGGTGACTTGCTGGATTATAGAAGTATTAGGGGTATAAGAACTTGACCGTAGCAATGATATCCCAGGCGCTGGGGGAGGGGAGATGTATGTGGAACTATTCTCGTGAAAGTCGTATATTTAGTTTGTATATGGGTTATATAATCTACATCTTTACAGTCTCTGGAGTTCCTCACCGTTCTCCACAGTACAGTAAAGACAAGTACTTTCCACCCCTGAGCCCCTTAAGAGTCCTTTGGTGGTGGGGGTCCTGTACGTGTAACTTGAGTAGCAGGTACTTTAGCTGGAGAGTTCTCAGGTCCAGCGATACCTGTCGTAATAGTCTCTCCACTCTCGACCCAAACACTAGAAAAATAGAAGTCCTCGGTTAGATCAGGGAAACCATCTCTGGGTACGACAAGACTTCCCAAATGAAAATCCTTGTTGTCCGAAAAGGTGTCTGCCTTGACAGCCGGAACAGTCAGCTCCAAGTCGTCTGCCCCCTCAGAATGCCAAAACGCCACTGTCTTAGCATCAAAATCGACCTCATAGGCGATGTTGTGCCAAACGTGCGCATTCCAGGTGGTGCTCCATAGTGTCTTGCCCGCAGCGTTCCATCTGAGAAAGTTATCTGTGATCCCGGTGGGGTCGCCTAGGTGTCCAGACTTCAATTCTGTGAAGTGGTTTTCGAAGAAGGCGATTTGGTGCTCCTTGTTAGTATCGGGAGGGTTAACATCGGACCGTTGCAGGCTGAAGTGGTAGAAAACCCTTGAGGCGTTGATTGGTGCCGATGCTTGGGGAATAAGTTCGGTTCGACGAAGTGTTTGACCGTTCCAGAATGAGGTGTCGTCTACTGTGATCTTCACGCCTTTTGAACTTCCTAGATCTGCTGGATTTCTGTAAGACGGATCGAGGTTTACGTATGCGTCAATTGGAGAAGGCCCGTGCTACTAAATGGTTATTTGACTATCAAATTTCGGATGTGAAACAAAACTCACGATGTAGTATTGATATGGGCCGACTTGATTGCTCCAGGACCACGCTTCAATGTCTTTGTTAGACTGGACATCATTGAATCTTCCATCCCAAAGGATTTTACCACCGACTGCAACCCTGGCAAGTCCTGCGAGGAGGAGGTATGATTTATGCATATTGAATCGCAAAGAGTCTCAATATGGGGTGAACGAGTGCACGTAAAGTGGTTGACTTGAACGATAGTGAGTGAGAAAATGGCAGTCAGACTGACGGCCAGAGAGGAGGAGAAATGGTCATGAGTTATAACTTTATACTCTGGATTTCCTCAACCAAGCGGGGCAATCCCTACATGTTCACCGCCCAGAAATTCAGACGAACCATGGAACACCTGGATCCTTTGGTCTTGGTACAGCAACAACCTGTCTGGTTCATCGCATCTATTGTGGGGCACAGTCGTATTTTTTATGCGAAATTTTTGATTCCGCAGGTAAATTTAGAAATAGATCCAAGGATGCATAATGATGGACTGTAAATAGGCCCCTGCCAAGCAATTATTGCCCTGGGTCAGGCATACTTCTTAAAGAGGGCCGACTGTTAAAGCTACCGCCTGTCACGCAGATCATATGTGAGAAAAGTCTTAACGCCTATGTGCGGGTCTCTGATTCGCTGGTATGTTTAAAATTTAGGGCCGAGGCAAGCTATTAACTTGCAGGGTGCGTCTCCGAGCTGTCCATATTCTCTTTACAGAATTCGTATAGAGAGTTCGGGTCAAAGATATTGCCTTTAATTGATCGTTCTTTAAGACAAGAATTGAAAGGTACACTATTGGCATCATATTCGGAACTTTCGGACGCCTGGCTTCATGGGGGTTAATTTGCAGACCTCTCGCAGGCCCGTGAGCTAATATGCCAACAAAGGACAAGTAGAATTGGAAACACGGAAAGGCTAAGGGTTCTTTTGGCTCGAAATACGTAAGATTATTAGGAATTCGCTATACAGATTAGGTTTTCCTCTCCGCCTAGCGAATCCTAAGTTGTAACGAGTCTAAGGAATGTTTGGCTCACACATCGATCGAATAGAAACCAAATAGTACTCTAAGTATAAGTATTCGTAAAAACATCATTTGCTCTCAAGGGTGTTACTCTCATGGTGTATAATCGAGCGTGCATGCAATTAAACGTAATAAACGAGTAGAGTTTTATAAATTCCGGGGTGCCATACCGAACGGTTTACACTCTAATAATGTAAGCGAAAGAGGCAACGATATCACGTCATTCCGCTTACTTTGGAACTAATACAGTGCTAGAATAAAGTATGGGCATATGACAGCCCAGGTCCGGAAAAATAACGGTCGTAGCCTTGATTTGTGAGAACTGCAAACAAAACACCATACTTCGTTTACAACCACTATCACCTCACTTACACCCACTATCACCTCACTTACACCCACTATCACCTCACTTAACCCACCATATTAAAGCATGCCAAACAGGATCGCCTTCCGATCGCAAAAGCACGCAATATCAAGCTTGAAGATGGGTTCTGTTACACCACGCAATTTTTGAGATCACAAGCTGATTGGCGGGCTGCCTCTCTATTCCTAAGCGAGTTGCGAAATTTTCCCTCCTTCAATGAACATACGAGCGCAAAGCGCAAATTCTCAAAGACGTCTGAGTGAACCATGAAAGTGGAATTCGGCAAATGAGGTTCTGATCGCAAAAGTTGCGATGCTCAAAAAAACTCAATTTTATGCCTCACTTATGGAAGTTGTTTTGCGACTGGGTGGCGATTAGATAATGGGAGGATTACTTGCAGTCTGCAACCTTCACCTGTGTTGTGGTTTACTTTTCAATGCTAACTGGACAATGGGTTGACCTAGTACTTCACTCAGATGTTCTCATTTCGAGACAAATGACTCTAGATGAGGTAATCAGATCATATCGGTCGGTTGATACATGAAGACAGCGACCGATTAAGAAGAAAGATTGAAGAACCGCGAAGAGCTTCAAATGTTGTTATTGGCCTGTACTTGGTTCTCCTATTGGTCCTGGTGACTATCTTGAAGATTCCATATACCCTCAGTTTGAAATGAAGCAACTTATGAAGTCAACCTTGTAAAGTTGCTTCATTTCAGACTGAAAGTGTTATAATTGAAGTGTATCTTTCCCTCTACTTCATACATAACTCATTGCATGATGGCGTTTCCGGAAAAAGAAGAGTCTTATCACAAGCGAGCCCCTGTTCAGCTTACGATAGACAACCGAAGTGCTTTTATTCTTATTGAAAAGGCAATATCCCCCTGGGATAGATATATTGCTTGCTATCTGGGTTTATTAGATATGCAAGAAAGATACGTTTTTGTCTTGTCAAAAGCACCCGAGCAATGAAGGTGCATTATGCTTATTCTTGGGTGCAGTCAGTCGTTCTAACCGGATACATTTAATAAGGCGCAACCATCACCGACTTGCTTAGGTTGTCCCTGTATCTAGCTAGTCACGTCAATAATTATAAACTCTGTACCTAATTTGCATCTCGAATGCAAAGTTCGAACCTGATGCCTTTGATACAGTAAGGTACTATTAGACAAGTATATGGATCAAAGTGGTAATGAGCTTGAGTGTTTTTATGAAAGGGGACCTAAGCTGGTCACATGACGACTCGATTCAATGGGTAACCCCCATATGCTTCAGGTTTCAAAAGTCATAACCCTCAGCTTACAATCATGTCAAGTTGCAAATAAACTGTCCTCATGTTCCTATATTCCATTACATCATTATGTATTCTTATGCTCGACACTCCCAAAATGTTACTAGAAGGTTCCTAATGGAGTGATTTTGCCACGGAGTTTTATCATTATAAACGTCCGAGAGCACCTTCCAAGAAGGGACAAAATCCGTACTAGAAATACTATTATAGTTTGTGGAGAAAGTTAAGGACCGAGTGTTATTAGATATTAAAAAAATCAGTTCTATAAAGACCTTATATTATAATCGAATTAAGTGTTTTTGGTAACCGTGCCACCTATTTAGGCAACTCGTATCTGGTTTACGTTTGAATAGCTACCTTGTATTCGATTTACATTTAAAGCTATTCCTACTTTCGCGTTATATTAGAGATTTAATACAAATCCTATAGCGTCTTTTATAATAAATGGTTTATACACCGAGGTTGTAAAACAACTACAAAAGATATAAACTTCGTTATATAAACACCAACAAACGTTGTTTATATTATTAAAAACCCGCGGCAAAATCACTCTAATGCGACCAGCTTTGCAATTTATAAGGCTATGAGATTCATCAAATATTTCAGTGCGGGGAGAGAACTCGGTATATGAAACCTGAAGATCAAAATTGATGAAGACATGTCAAACTAGCCTGAAGGTTCATTCTCCATCTGGAGCTCTTATCAGCCATCCAATCGTTCCGCTCGAGTGAATGCACGGTAGCCCTCCGGTCCTCCGTGCAGTTCCGAAAAATAATGCTTAAATGATTTACTGAGTTCGACTACTTTCCGAACATGCTCTTCCGTTAATAGCGTCTTCCCAGATTCGCCATGCTCGGCACGATGTTGAGCTAATGAAACTGCAGTTTGGAATGCTGTTGATATTAGCGCATGTTTTGAAGGCTTTGATGTGTCATTACCATTTCGAATTTCTCTGCCGTTCATCTCAAAATCTTGCATTTCCTTGGAACGCAAATACTCCTTCACAGCGTACTTTACTTGCATTGAGGGCTTTTCAATTTCTAGTTTTTTGATGAAGTTGTTCCATATTGTCAAGCGCTGTTCATTATCAAGGTCAGGATAAAACAACTGGACATGTACGCGGCTCAATATCTATATGATTGGAAATTCAGTTGGGGGATCAGGAATAGATAAATCAGAACAGGGGGAAAGAAAAGCCTTCACAACTCACCGCATCATCCAAGGTTCCCACGCGGTTTGTCGTGAGAAATAAGATTCCGTCGAAGAACTCAAGCGCGCGGAGGAAACCTGGTCATTTCCTCAGTCAAGACACAAAATATGGAACAAAATAATCATACTGGCAACTAGGCTACTCCTATGAAGATCTTCGATAGTTCGATTTGCCAGGAAAACGTCAGCTTCATCGATCAGAAGTACTGCTCCCCAGCTGTTTGCCATTTCGAAGCTGCGACTTAGGTTGCTTTCTATATCCTCTGTACTTGTACCAATGTCCGTGGTTTTCAGTACCATTAGCGGTTTTTTCAGGAAGTTGGCAATACATTCTACCATCTTGTAAGTTGAATAATTCTGAAATGGTGTAGGAGCTTACCAGCTGTGTATGTCTTCCCCATTCCAGGGCCCCCGTGTAAAAGGAATATCAACCCTGTTCCTTTTCCGTCTATATAATCAGCTGCCCAGGGGTTTTCGATCAACGCTTTGCCATTGTTGTCGATTCGTGCAAAGCTCCCGGCTAGTGATTTGATGGTCCTCAATCTTGCTTCATTCATCACAAGATGATCTATCATATTCGGCTGGAACCGAGGTTCTGAAAGCTTTTTGACCTTGACCCTTTCTAACTGAAGTTAGCGTAGTAATCTTACACAAATGCGCAAGACCGATTTTGAATTACCCCATCTTCGTGTTTTAAATACAAAAACATGAATGTGTTTTGGACACAAGAAATACCTGTGGTCGCGCAATTTTGGGAATTCACTTCTGCTCACTTTAGTGTAGTCTGTGAAGATGGGCGTTTTGCTGGTGTCCCTGCCTAATTTTGATTTGCATATGGGACAAAAACATTCTGAAAGAAATCCTTGTTGATGAAATGATCCCATCAAAGACGGAATTCCTGCTACAGTTGATATGAAGCGGCAGCCGGTGGTTGCACCTTGGGCCCTCCTTTGTTGAGAGTAGAAAGCGTTCAGATCTACCATCACAGTACCTCAAACCTAAACAGATGATTGAATATTGATTCTAACCCTCAAGTGTGGAAAGAAATTCATGTACTTACATCGTTGTAAGGAAAATCAAATGCTGCACCGTCATGATGCTTGCATTGCTTTTGAAGCAGTTCCCAGTACATTCTGCCCTCTGCAATAGCGTTTTTAATGCTTTCGTTGGCAACAAACTTTTGGAAGTCGTCCACGTTCCCAAGTACCTTGATTTTCAAGGATTCTTCCATATGCGCCTCACCATCAAAAGAATGAAAAGTCCTCCCTGTTCTTTGTACACGACCCAGAAGTAGTCCATTATAATCTATACTCCAATACTTCAATTCCCAGTCGCGTTGCACAAATATACCAGCCTCGATACTCGAAATAACCCCTCCATATAATTCCCCCTTCTCCACACTTTCTTTCATTTCAAAATGAATTGTTGTCCCAGGTTTCAATGCCACCCACAAGTAATCAAATGTCGCCACGCCACGCTTATTTCGTTCTTTTTCGGCATTGACCTTCTCCATTACCTCACTATCCAAAAATGAGAGAAGAAGAGCGAGATGTTTATCGGCATATCTTTTATTTACGCAAGTATCCTCTGGATTCTGTTCCGCAACTTCCTTCTGATAGAGTCTCAATTCCTCATAATGATGTACAAGGATCGGATATGGCCAACCAATCTCGATGTCGTCGCCACTCAGGTCCTGCTCAGGATAATACCGCACAACAGATCTCAAAGCATGCATTACTGGGGCTGAGAATATTCGTATCAAGTAAGAAGGTATTCCCCCACTCCACTGGTCGTTTCCTGTTCGTTCTGTACTGTGTACCATGATCCGTTCGAAAACGGGAACGCTATCGCCGTTTGAAAGAGCATCGTTGAATGTGGCATAATCAGAATGTATAATAGAACGACTCTTGACCTCATTGCCTTCGTCTCTCCGTTCCAACGTGTATCGAATCCAAGGTTCATTGCGACCTTCTCGCCCAGGGGCAGGAATACTGCTAGTAGATGTTACTGCGTTGATTCCACCTCCACCCTCATTGAGGCTTTGAGTTTGACTGCCTTTGTCCGTGTACTTCACAGAGGATTCATTCCTAGTGATGTCAGACATGATTGATTCTGGTTCAAGTCACAGGCGAGGTAGGAGTGTGAATTAGAAAAGATATGGTGTGTGTTGCTTCTAGACGTTATATATATTTGTGGAGATGTCTTTCAAAAAGTCCTAAATCAAAATTTGGAGGTTAAAGTTGAAGGCCGCATGATTTGTTGCGGCTCAAGATGTAAAGGGATGATTAACGGCTGCGCCTTGGTTCGATTGGTACTCGGGCATCATGTAGTGTAACCCACCCCTATTGAGTTCAGCGAATAGCGATGATTAAATGACCACCCCTGATTGGACTCAAGGTTAAACAAGTGTGGCTTACCCAAAGCCCAAACAGCACAGCCCCACGAAAGAGATAGTTGCCTAGGGTGAAGACTGCTATAAGGCGATAAAGGATCCTAGAACTGAACTTCAACAAGTTTTAATCTTACATGAGGTATCGACACGATAAATTTGAAATCCACCCATATGGATATCGCTGCCAGCCTTTTGCAGCTCATCCAGTTCACCATCATCAGTATTCGTGTTATCCGGGAAACCTCGATCGCCATCAAAGATGGGCCGGAAACAATTTCATATATGGCAAAAAGTGCCAATCATCTTTTGCAAATGATGGAACGGCTAGAAAAAAGCCGTGCTCTCAAACAGTATCAGACAGGACAGTTGTACGAAATGGTGCGCTCATGTCACGTTGACGTAACGAGGATGGCCAAGAAATTGGAGAAATATAATTTTTAAGCGAGCGATAATTTTGGAACTAAGATGCGGAAAATTGTACTTGGCATTTTCAACGAGAAGGAATGGATGGACTTCAGGTTGCGAATGGACGGTTACTGCAACTCACTGACTGCATTTATCACAATCGAAGACAGGTAAGCTTAGTCATCCTTCTTCCACGATGAAGTGTTGATGAATCTCCACTCCAGTCACAAGCTGCATGATATTGGCGATACAACGATTGAGTCCCACAAAGTTCTTCGAGAAGATCTCGTGCGTTTATCCGAAAAGTGTGACCGAATTGAAGCAAAGTGCAATGAAGTTCGAATTGTAATCCATCAACCCAAACCAGGAGATACATTTTTCATTGACTCTATTCGGCAAATCATACAAGAAGATCTGAAAAAACCAATACTCAATGAAATCAGTGGCATCTCGCAAGGAAATTTCTCGGAAGAGATAGGCGAACGTATTTCGAAAGCTTTTATACGTTTGGAAGGGAGATCCGATTCAAATTTCAAGACCTTAGGAAGCGATCTTGAAGAACTTGCGGCACTTGCCAACGAATTGAGATTATTCCAAGTTCGAGCTCATGCCGAGTCGAATAATCAGATATCCCGGCATCGTGGAACAGTTACTGCTATAGGTATGACTTGATACTGACTTTAATTCGCAAAGGTTCCCGTCCACTATTACAGCTAATCTTTTATTAGAAATAAGCGACTGGCCAGCTGATAAAATTCTTGCTGACTCCCTCGTCCTCGAGAAATTCTTCCCGCGAGATCGTATTCGGTTAAAGGGCGTTGCCCCCCAAAAATGTCATGGTAAACCGCCAGACCTTGCTCAGACTTCTCGAATGGACTGGTGGCAAAGCAAAATATAGAGTTCTCCGGATAAGAAGCCCCTATACCCCCGCTCGAGACTCCGAAAATGCGATGACCAGACTTAGCTCGAAGTTGTTGAAAATCTCAGAAAATGTGGTTCCCAAGCTTCCCATATTATCTTTTTTCTGCCAGCCCTCAAAATGGAGACAAAACCTAAGTAATGAGACGTCTGAAATGGAAGGGCTGATTGCGATGCTTTATGCACTAATACGCCAAATCATTGAGATACAACCACCCGGGATACAAGCGGTTGTTGATTTGTCCGATAATCGATTGCGAGATCTCGATGGCACTGAGAAAACGTGGAAAGCTTCTCTTTGTCTTCTTGATGACTTAATTGGTGGTGTAGACAAAGCATTTCTTATAGTGGACGGATTGCATTGGGTAGAGCATTCGAGTACGCGGAAGTGTTTGGGAGAGTTGCTCGATGTTCTGCTGCGCGAGAAGTTACATTCTTTGTTTGTTACAACAGGGCACTATCCTAGTTTAATCAACAAGTTATCTCAGTAAGACACTTTGAGCGACCGTGGCTATGGTTTTGGAGGTCCCAAAGAGGATATTGAGAGGCATCAGCAAAAACCATGGAGTCAAACTTGTTCCACATTGTCATGTAGAATAATGGCATTTTAAAATTTCTACAACACTTAGTAGGAAGTGAATAGCTCAAAATTATGAATCTAGAATGAGAAACTGGTGAATAGCGTCGTCGAGGGTTGTCAGCGTTTGTAAGGCCTAATACCTTAACATTTAATTAATGAAAAAGGGAAGTATCTTCTGCTAGGAAGACCTGACAAAGGCTCGCGCATTCGATAACAGAGACTGATTAATACCATTATATATAACCATAGTACGACACCTTTTTTCGTAGATTGAATTTTTTGTTCTAAAACGCTCAATCTCTCTTACTCTCCCCTAATAAGCTGAATTCCTTCCATGGAGACACCTCTAAGGAGGCCTCCGGCCACGCCTACGCCCCTAGGAAGGGGTATAGGGAAAGGGGGGGTACGCCCAATTCCTCCCCTCCCCAACATACAACAACAAGTTGTCTCTGGGACCACTGAAGCTCTAGAACGTGGTGCTATAGGCCAAATTTTCTTTGGAGGCACCGCAGAAGCTGTAGACCACCACCTAAGTACTGCTCTTGATAGAGCACCTCCGGACCTCTTGCCCTACCTCAGGGCCTTTTGTACACAGGTGGCCGACCTTAGC